ACTGGGGGTTGGATGCCGACAGCGAACCCCGCAGTTTCTCCCTCCCAGGGACGAGGAGGCAGACACGGGTGGTGGCTCAGCGCAGGGTGGGCAATGCTCCGGAGGAGTTTCTGCTGTGGGTACCACCATGCTCCGGGATATCAGCCCTGTTCCTCTCCCGACACCTTGCACAGCAACCAAGCTTTTTTCATGTCACCCTTTCCCACACTGTGGCCCAAAGCGGGAGGAAAATACCCACAACTATTTCTTGGCTTTTTGTGGGGGACGGTCCCAAATTTTTTGGGAAATTTTGACCTCCTGCGGTTTTCTTGGAGCTGGAAGGTGCTGTCTTGGGGAGCAGAAGGGGGTATGGCTGTCTATGGCTGCGCATCGCCACGGACTTTTCCTCTCTCTGCTCCCGTCAGCTGTTTTTTTTAATGCATTTCTCCTCTTTCCAGATCTGGGAAGGGCTGACCCAGCGGTTTCACCGGGTGATTGCTCTGGATTTCGTAGGATTCGGTTTCAGCGACAAGCCTGTGAGTAGCCCGAGAGGAGGATTTTCACAGTTGCTTCTGGCCCAGAGGTCATTCTGCTGTGCCAGCACCCCTGGAAAATTGGTGTTTGTAGTCCAGTTTCTTCTCCCATTTCTATCTGGAAAAGGAATAAGACATTATAATAGTGGAAGGGATGGGGAAGATTTGTGGTGGAGATCAGCTCTGTCACCATCTTGCCTTTACTTGGGTTTGATGTGACTCCAAAGCACACCTTGACCCCTTTGAGGTATGGGCAGTGCTCCCGTGGGCTTGTGGACATAGCTGCTGGCCCAGGACATCCCGACTGCTCTGTCTGGGCTTGCAGACTGCTGGTCTTCACCCCGTATTCCTCCGTTTGGGTGTTTATTCTGGAGTTTTGTGGGTTCATGGTGGGTCAGGCTCTCACTGCAGCTCCTCTCCCGCTTTGCTTTGCAGAGGCCGCACCGCTACTCCATCTTCGAGCAAGCCAGTATCGTCGAGGCGCTGGTGCGTCACCTCGGCCTCCGCCACCAGAGGATTAATCTCCTGTCTCACGATTACGGGGATACGGTTGCACAGGAGCTGCTGCACAGGTCACTGCAACCCACTGATGCTCTGGCTGCTCTTTTTTGTTCCCATCAAGATGATTTCCAGCAGATGAGTGGAAGGACATATTGCAGACCCCCCTTTTCCCTGTACCTACAGCTGTAACAAAGGCTGAGACATCTCAGGGCACATCCATGGTCTGAGGCTCCCATCCATCAAATCCCAGCTGCTGAGATGTTTAATTTCCCTCCTGAGCTCCTTCTTATCAACCCAGGGACAGCAAGGGAGCAGAGATGATCTGACACTGTTAATTTGACCTGCTGGTCGGTCACTTCTTGGAGCCTGGAGAGGTTTAGTTGTGTTTCACCTTCTTCTCTTCCATCCCCAGATATGAGCACAATAAAACTGGAAGCATCTTCATCAACAGCCTCTGTTTATCCAATGGAGGTAAGGTTTGCCGGCCGTGGTGGGATGGGTGGGCTGGGAAGGAGGGGGATCCATGGGATGGGATGGCCTTCCTGTCTCCATCACCCAAGGGAAAGCACCACCCAAACCCCAAGTGAATTGCAGTTAAGGTGCTGTAATTAAACTGGGCGCGACAGCCCTCCGGCTGTCTGTGCCGCCGTTGATGGCACCATGGAGAAGTGGAGAGACTGGAAGATGCAGAGCAAAACACTTGTAGCGTTACAACTCTGTTCTTTAACATCCTTCCAGGGATTTTCCCCGAAACGCACTACCCCCGGTTCATCCAGAAGGTGAGCTGCTATCCCCTCTAGTCGTACTGAATCGCCCCTCAGGCAGAAGTCTGACTCTTGTGAGTTTGGGGTTTTACCTGGCTCGGATGCCTTCTGCTTCGGTAACGGCACCTGAGCTGCTCGCAGGCATCGTTAGAGGCGGTGGGGAGCAGAAGGGGCTGTCAGGATGCGGCTCGTCGCATCCAAACGTCCGAGCTAATCACCCTTGGAAGCGCTGATGTCTCACCGTGTACATCTCGAGGGTCGGGGCTGAGCTGGGAAACTGCTGTAATACTGGGAGCTGGGGGAAAAGCCCTCCGAGGAGGCAGGATTTACCCGTCTGTGCGATACTGAGTAGTGCTGCCTCCTTTTTTCCTTCTGCCCAAGATCCTCAAGGATGGGGGTTTGCTGTCCCCCATCATCACGCGGCTGATGAACTTCTTTTTCTTCTCCAGAGGGTGAGTTGGGTGTCCGTGCTGCCGGGCATGGTCCATACAGGGGATGCGAGCCAAGCGGGGAGGGGGCCAACGTAGGAATTAGTGTAGCGGGTATTTGGCAGGTGAGGAGATCCCCTGGCACTGTCCCAGGAGAGATTTGCACCTGGGTTTGAATGACCTTGATCTTCTGGGTCATTCCCTCTGCAGGTTGGCAGAGCACTTCAGCCTAATAATAAACCACACAGCTTTTCACTGTGCGCTGAAATCCTTCTCTCCCACGAGTATTGGACTTGCACGTGTTGCAGAGACAACGAAAACCCTCACCACGCTCTACATACGGTGCACAATCAGATATATATTTTTATCAGATGTTGCAAAACCTCTTTTTTTTCCAAAAAGCCCTTTAGGCTGGCTGCTAAATCCAACGCTGGGGCTGTTTGGGGGACAACTTAACAGTGCTGCGCTTGCACCCATGTGTTTCACAGTGGAAGCTGGAAGTGCTCGACTGTTTGTTGCCCTCGGCTAGTTCTTGAGTCTTACGCTAACGCAGCTGCTGCCATGCCACTCTGAACTCTTTTTTTTTTTTTTTCCCCAGGCTTGGGGCAGTCTTTGGGCCCTACACGCAGCCTTCGCAGGCAGAATACTGGGACATGTGGACGGTGGTGCGGACCAACGACGGCAATCTCGTTGTTGACAGGTATGTCACCGGTAATTGCCGCACGAGCTTAGTTTTACACCGGTGGCATCCCTCCGTTTGCAGGCAGAGCCGTGCAACGGCTTAGAGGGTACCGGAGCTCAGCCAGGTCCCTGGACACTGGCTCCCCAGAGTCTCCAGTTGCTTCTGTTAGGCTCTGGGATCATCACTGCACCCCAAAAAAGAGCTGGGATGATGCAAGACTTGTAAATGAAGTCTGGACTCAGGAGGGTCCGAGCCTGCACGTGGTGGGAGAAGGACAACGCTGGAGATGTACAACGTGGGGTTTTTTTTCTTCTGTGGAAGTTAGGGGTTTGAATTTGTGGGGTGTTGTTAACAACTGGTGCTAAATCTGGTTTTCTCCAGTTTGGGACTTTTGGAAGGACCTCGGGCTGGTGGTTGTGAGTTCAGTATCCCCGTTCAGGGGGGCCTGTGTTTGTCCTTCTCCCCCAGTGTGCAAACTCCTCTCTCCTCCCACTGGGGACAATCTCCAGAGAAATCACAGTAAGGACCAAACAGCTCAGTCTCTCCAAGGGCACTCGCTAATTGCCTCGTGTAACGAGGGATACTCACCCAAACCCAGCAACAGATAACACCGGCTGATGCACGGCCCACTTGGCAAGTCCTGGCGTGGCAAATTTTTGAAATGTCACCTTTGTCGGCAGCACAGCCATGACGGGAAGCTTCAGTGCCAAAATATCTCCAGCCCTTTAAATGTCGTGTGCCAGAGTATCAGTACATTTATTTAGTGTAGCTTCGCATCCTTGGAAGGCTTGTTATAACCCAACTGACTTGAGCCTGATGTTTGAATTGTGAGCCTCAGCCCTCGAGAGCTGTGCTGGAGCAAGGAGTCACCCCGAGTTGCTGGCTGGGGTGATGAGACAGGCTGAGGAGCTGTTAGCAGTTCAGATTTTCACTGTAAGACCTGACCAGTGCAATTTATCTTCTCCTGCATTCCTCCACGCTCAGCAGTTCAGCGCTGACTCCTCTTCTGTGGGGCACTGAAAGAGTTTCAGAGCCGCTGCAACGCCGGTGAGCCGTGCGTGGGAGCGCTCAGACGGCACTGCCTCTGCGTTGCCTTTCAGCAGACCAGTTTCTGCCCCGATATTTTGTAGGATTCGGTTGCAAACTCGCTTTTTGCCCTACTGCCCAAGCGAAGCAGCGTGGAATTTAAGGGAGCTTGGGCGAAACCAACCTTTTGGTGCTCGTTTGCTGGCTGACTGCTCGCTGTGACTTACTGCACCACCTGGCACAAAGGTTACGATGGTTTACCCCCTTTTAAAACCCAGTGGCATTTGACTGGGAGCAGAGGACCCAAATTTGCTTCCATCTCAGCTGGGAAAGATTCAAACCTTATCCTCCCATCTCCACATCCTTAAATGAAGTTGGGCTGTGCTCCAGCAGGACTCCGAACTGGTCTCTGTGCTTAAGGCACGGAGCTGGCAGGGGCAAGACCTGGAGCCAACATCCCAACCTCATTTGCACTTTTATTTGCTGACTATCTAAATAATGAAAAAAAAAAACAAAAAATACACCTTAGGCAAGTGACTAAGCTTGGGGATCATCAGCAGACTGATTTTGTGTTGCTGCCGCCCCAAGGAGGCGGTCCGTGGGAGATGCAGATCCACCTTGGTCTCATTGCACAGGCATATATTGCCCCGAGAGCAATTTCCAGGCTGTGCAGCACCGCGAGGCACCGTCTGCTGTGTAACAACAGGTTTCTCTTCAGTATTTTGCAGTACATAAACCAGAGAAGGAAGCACAGAGACCGCTGGGTTGGGGCTTTGATGTCCACCTCTGTCCCACGTGAGTAGGAATCCATTTTCTTTGATTTACTGGTCGGGATGTTGGGAATCGGCCCCCTCGCCTCCAGGCACCGGAGTGTGGTGCTGGCTCTGATCGCTGGAGCGTCTCGTTATTCTGATGAGGACAAAGTGGCTCAAATCTGGCTTGTGCAAGGGGCGGCGAGCACCCCTGCTCCAGTTTAAGGCTTGCTTACAGCGGAGTGCTGTGAGTTTGTTAAGGTAAGAGGAAGAAGAGTTTGTTCCACGGAGCAGAGGTAACTTCCCTTTAGAGGCTGGTTCACAGCCTCTGGTTTCTCCAGCTGCTGCCCCAGGGAAGCCAAGGTGCTTGTCAAGCTCAAGAGAAGTTGCAGCCACTCAAGGAAAGGTTTGGTGTTTGCAGGAGGAGGTTTGGAGGTTGAACTTGACCCCACGACAGAGAAGCAAGAGCCCTTTCGGCAGCTGGTTTGCTCAGTGCTCTGCTGAAAGCTTCCCGAGCTCCAGGCGAGGGGGGAACATGTCTGCAACAGGTCTCCTTGGCTTGGTTTAGGGATGTCCTTGGCTATAAAAGCTCTGTCTGTGCTTCTCTCTTGCAGTGCATCTAATCTACGGGCCCCTGGACCCTGTGAATCCGCACCCAGAGTTTCTTCAGCTTTACAAGTAAGATAATACCTGCCACAAAGTGGGAATATGCAACTGGGGTTTCATTTTGAGGGAGATTTTGTCTCAGATTTTCCCTTCAGTCCCCTTTTCATGGAGGCTGTTTTTAATTCCCACCTGTAACCTGCACAGCAAGGTGATTCATTCAGAGCCTTCTGCAGTTTGGAAATGGCTTCCCCGTTTTAGGCATCAAAGTCACAATTCTCAAGTCAAATCAATCATGCATTTTAAAACCACATCAGACAGAGGTAAGATTTATTGACTGAGGTAGTCTTCTCCTCCAGACTAACCGGAGGTAAATCCAGTACTTGGAAGAGTGGTCAACTGTAGCTGCTCCAGGCTTTTTTGTCCCCAAACCATGTTATGGGCAGAATCCCAGCTGTGGAAGCGGATACTGTCCTCTTCACTGGTAGCGTTTGGCTGGCTGCAGGCTGAGCCTGCTGCAGGTCCTGTGCTTAAGCCTTCCTGCATTCTTCCAACAGGAAGGTGCTCCCCATGTCCACAGTGTCCGTGCTGGACGACCACATTAGCCACTATCCACAGCTGGAGGATCCGACAGGCTTCCTGAATGCGTATTTGAACTTCATCAACTCCTTCTGAGCTGCTGCAGCTCTGTTCTCGCTCTCTGTTTATACGTCAGGCTTTGGGGGCAGGAAGAAACCCTGATTTTTATCTCTAGATCCAACACTTTGCACTAACACTCTAATCTTTGGCTGCCAAACAGCTGCATTTATGCAGTTAAATCCTTTGAGCACCGGAAAAGATTAGCCTGCAGGGAGGCATGGACAAAACTGTCAGCGTAAGTAAGTTACAGGATGCCGACAGCTCTTCCAGCCCTGCACGCACCTTGCTTTTTCACCATCCTATCTGTATTTAGAGCCAGGTGGGCTCACGGGAGAACAGGGGCACGTGAGGGGAGGCAGAGCACGTATGTCAGTCCAGGAGTCCGTCCTTGCCTTCATTCCTAGGCCACGCTGTGTGCCACAGGTAGGCAGGACCACTAGCAGCCAAGGGTTGATGCATATATTCCCAAAAAGGATTTTGGTCTGTTTTTTGAGTTGTGTCTGCACACAGTTTTAAATTATATCCTTCTGCTAAGTGTTATAACACTTGGCCATCTTGTCAGGACTGAAGAATTTGAAACTGAGTTTGCCTACACTAAACAGAGCAGGAGAGCTGGATCTGTAATCCCCCAAAGTATAGGCAATGATGCGGTGCACCCATAAAGGGACACTTAAGCACTGTAATTATGTCTTCAGTAATCTCTTTTTAATGGCTAGTTACACAAAGGCAAGCTCTAACCCTCAAATTTTTACCACATCGCTTGTTTCTCTGATTTTCAGTTCAACAAGCAGAGCTGCTCCCTGACACTACACCCCTGGGACTATCTCAGGAGCTTCGCCAAAGCCTGGCTATAGGACCCGTTTCACTAGAGCAAGCTGAATACGCAATACTGGCACTAGCAAAAGCCAGGGTGTTCTTTGAGCAATAGCTGTTTGAGCCACAGGGATCTGGGACAGGTGTTTAAATTAGCATTAAAATAGTATTCCTTCCATGCTCACCCTGACTTGATAACTAAAGAAACACCAGTTCGTCAGCAGAGAGATGCAGAACTTCCCTCTCACGGAAGTCACCGCAAGGTCCCTCCTTCCCCGTTTTTGATAGAGGATGTTTCACATCTTTGAGCCCAGGAAAAGGCTGCACTGCTGTTTGGTATTAGCTGACATAAGGCTCAGAGAACTGAACATGCCTTGATAGGTGAAGTTTAATCTCTCTCTCTGTACATTGATTTTTCTGTGTGGAAGAGAGGAAACAATCATCAAGATACTGTAAATTTACAGGTTGGCAGACTGCAGGATTTGTGTGGTTTTTAACTGCTTATGTTTGAACTTTAATAGCATCCCTTTAGGAATAAGGGGTTTCTGCTGAGTAAACAGCCATTATGGGCTACTTTTTCTGTACTGAAGCAGGCAGAATTAGAACAAGAAATTTCTATTTTATTAACAGTAATTCATATGAATTCCACCACTTGGACCAGTGTTTATTTTCTGTTAATAAAAATCAGTTTTGACAAAAGTCGCGTTCCATTTTCTTACCACCTGCATCTTTTATTTTCCCCTGCTCTACTGCAAGTGGCCAGAGATGCAATAAGTTAGATGGGAATGTGTAAGTGACAATGAGGGAAGGGACATGGGAAAGGCTCAGTACCAACCACCCACTATTGCCACTACTGTAACATCATACAAAATATTTACCAAATTGAGGAATAAAAACTACATGCAGAAGGACAGACAGGCTGCTTGATATCTGGTAAACACCCAACCGGTGCTTGCAAAGGAGGTTTCCACCACAGTCGACGTGCTGTAACACTCAGCCTACAGAAGCCAGAATGACATCCACAGGCGTTTCTTCCTTGCTCCTAACCGTCACCTGCATGGTCACACCATCTCCCAGCGCAAGCCTGGACCTTACCAGCACATCACAGCCGCCTCTGTATACACCTGGGGACAAAGCAACATTGGAGAGATTACTTTGAGAGAGGCTCAGTGATCTAGTCCTAACCCAGGAACCAACAACCTGGTGAATGCAAGACAGATTCAGTCTACGGCCAGTTGCAGAAAGGGCAGAAATTACAAAAAAAAAAAATAATACCAAAACCCCCAAATCCTCTAAGCTCTTGAGGCCAAGACTGAAGATCACAGATACTGTCTTAATTAAACAGAGTCAGCAAGTGCTGCTGGAGGGCTAGGCTGATTTAAATAGGTAAAAACTAGAAAGTAGGTAGCTGAAGCTCACTTCCAGTTTCAGAAGGCAACACATGCTGTAATTCTGCCATGAAGGCATAGTCCATTGGCTCAGTGCCTCTGCCATTAAGGGAGGGAAAACTTCTCCTGTGCTTCTACTACAGGGCTTGGAAGTAGCACTCCTGGAGGCAATTCAGTCTGCAGGACGAGCCATCTCCGGTCCCACTTCAAGATCGCTATGCAGACAGACCTGGAGTTACTGATTCTGCCCCTGAAATAAATTGAGATCTGACCCTTCTGTCATGTTTGTTGCAGCTTTGTTTTAATCACTGCAACGAAGTTTTGTAGAGCACTTCACTTTCCAGGAATCACACAAAACTGTAAGCCTGGACTACAGTCACCAAAGAAGTGGGTACTGCAGGCCAATTCAGGACGTGTCGTTAGTGACAGGAACTTGAAAACAAGATGGTCCTAGGAACCCCATTCTGAGAGAACCTCGGGCAAGGAATTTAGTTAGGTGTCTGCTCTGGAAGTTCTCCATTCAAGGGATTCACTACCGTTCCTGTAGGTAGAACACCTCCATTCCGAGAGACACAGAGCCTAGCCTGAGTACACTCGCGACAGTGGGCTCTGAGTTAGCACCAGCTGCATTCAACTCGCTGGTTCACTTCAGCTTTCTACAGAGAAAAAAACCCAAAAGACTCTTGAAATGAGAGCAGAATCTCCTAACCCATTTCCCTTCATTTAGTAAAAATCTGTGGGGATGTGGAAACATCTGAGTTCAACAGCATGAATACTTACCAGCTAAGTAGAGCGTGTGAGAATTTTTGTTCTCTGGCACTTTATCTGATCTCTCACAGGGCTGCATGCCCAAGAACTTGATGATGTTATTGACAGCTTCTGCATTCAGAGATCGAAGAAGAAAATTACCTCCAGGTTGGTGCCAAGCTTTCTGTGAGAACTAGTTTGCAATTAAAGAACATTCTCTAAGCACCCATGTGGCTTAACCATTTCCATTCATTATCTTGGTTGCAGCCCCACCAACACAGCTCCCTTGCCACGTCCCTTCTGCTGTCTTAACAGCCTAGGAATGCACTCCTCCCTTCAACCAGCCTCAAGCAAGAGGGCACTGCCAAGCTTCCACTCGCTATAATCCCAACATTGCAACACAAAGCCTTGCTGCTGGAACATAAAGTCACATTGGAAGGCACCAAATTCACCTCCTACCACACTAAATATATCCCCAGCATGGCAGATTTACCAGGACTACTATATGGGTCACCAATAAACGAGGAGAGATCATCTCACCGTCAAGGGTTTTAATTGAACTAAGTGCAAAGGTTTCTATATCCCCAGCATGGCAGATTTACCAGGATTACTATATGGGTCACCAATAAACAAGGAGATCATCATCTCACCGTCAAGGGTTTTAATTGAACTAAGTGCAAAGGTTTCCTCTTTCTCAAAGTCATCTCCCACTTCTTCCCATGCAGCTGCGAAGTTAGGCTTTAAAACCTTCTGAATATGATCAGACACGGTCACCTCCAAATCTTCCAGCTGACAGAAAAGCAAGGGAGATTTTCAGCTGCCAGTTACAGAAATGATCCTAATCTTAGAAAGGGAAAGAAAGACAAAGAAAGACAGCAGGATTCTGCCGAGACAAC